CAGTTCCCTGAGCTTAAGAAATGCTGAGTAAGTTCGGCCCTTTTGATTTTCTGACTCCATCTCCTTGCACATTTCATTGTAATATTTTACTTTGTCATCCCGAATCCCAGAGGTATATGGTTCAAATCCACCAGATGCTTTGCTGGAGTTGGGGCAATCTCCTCTTGTACCAGTCAGATCTGATTCGACAGTATACACACACACACACACACACACACACGAAAAAAGGATTATTAATTTTTCAGTTTTATACCAATTCTTTCACACTATTTAGATGTATTTCTAGTTGTTTTTATATTCTGAGAAATCAGAATCAACCCCTAGCTGACCCTCCAGGGGATATTCATAAGCTATAAATCACATTGGAGGAGACTGCTCATCTTTGTCCTACAGAGGAGCTTTTGAATTTGAACTCTGTGCCTTTCAGTCGGCAGCCTAACTCCTTACCACTAGGCTACCAGAGCTCTGGTAATATAGGTTATGGTTATAACAATGTTGAGATAATGTCAGAAAGTGTTATATACTTGACTTAGTAAAGCAAAGAAACTAAAAATACTTGTAGCTGTTCAGTCAGAACCAACACTTAGCTAAGCCTCCATGGGGGTTTTAGGAAACTTTATGTAAGTTACACAGCAGATTGTCCTTCTTTCTCTCTCAGAGGCTTTGGTGGATTTGAACTGCCGGAGAGTTGCTACTGAAGCCCAACTCCCTAGAGACTAAGCCACTAGAGCAAAGTACCAATTTTGTCCTATTCTTAATAATACTCATTTATACCTTATTAGCAAAAGTTCAGGAAGAGATTGACCGTGTGATTGGAAGACAGAGAAGCCCTAGCATGCAGGACAGAGGTAATATGCCCTACATGGATGCCGTGGTGCACGAAATCCAGAGAGTCATTGACCTCATCCCTACCAACCTGCCCCATTCAGTGACTCGTGATGTCAAATTCCGAAACTACTTGATCCCCAAGGTAAGATGTTTCTTCTATGCTGAACTTCAGGGAGCTTTGGTGGCCTAGTGGAAGAAGCTGTGCTGTGATCTCAAAGACACACAGTTCAAATTCCATGGGAGAAGGATGGGCAATCTCCTCTCAAGAGCTTAACTGCCTCTGAAAAGCCTGCTGGAGGGTCAGCTATGAGTTGGTTCCAACTCAACGGTACATTACAACAACCCTGAACGTCAGTGCTCTGGAGTTCCAGATTCACAGAATGATGCAGTCCACCATCAGCATAAGATGAAAGAAATTAAGAAGGTCCAAGTATGCAGTTTGATGTATTTGTATGCTGTCCAGTTTGGGTATTGGTAAAGGAAAGGGTCAGTAAAATGCTCAACAAGATGGTCTGACATAGTAATTGCAATAATGGGCTTAAGAACAGCAAAATCATGAGGACCGCCCAGGATCTGTCAGGGTTTCATTCTCTTGTACCCAGGATTGCCATGACTGGAATTAACTCAACTTCACCTAACCACAACAATGACAAAAATTTATAATGAATCTTGACATCTAGCAGTGTTAATTCTTCCAAATTTGGGGGATTCTGGTAGGTTGGCTTATATAATATTGGATGTTTCATATTTCCAAATAAATTCTAGTGGCGCTCGGGAGGCCTAGTGGCAAGAAGCTGCACTGCAATCCCAAATAAATTCTAGTATCATACTAAAGAAAACAAGTAGCGGAAATGAAAACTACCAAATGTACCAATGTATATGTGGGAACTGAGAAAATGACATTCATGCTCAAGCTAAAATGTTGTTATGTGCCATTGAGTCGTTGTGACTCATAGTGATCCTATGTACAATAGCCCTGAAACCTGCTCTATCCTGTGCCAAATTTACTCTCTCTGACACAACTACCTCATTACCCCAGTCACTGCATCAATCCATCTCATCGATGGTCTCCCTCTCTTTCTCCATCCCTCCATCCTTCCAAGCATGATGTCCCTCTCCAGGGACCAGTCCTTCCATACAACAAGCCCAAAGTATGTCAGACAAAGCCTCAGAATCCTTGCCTCCAAGGGGCAGCCTGTTTGTTCTCCTAGCAGTTCATGGTATATTCAACACTCATCTCCAGCACCACAGCTCAAAGGAATCAATTTTCTATCATCCCTAGTCATTGTCCAGCTCTCTGACGCATAGCAAGCAATCATAAAGACTATGATCTGGATCAGGCGCTCCTTCGTCTCCAGACTGACATGGTTGCTCTTCAGTTCTCTGAAGAGGTCCCTGATGGCAAACTTTCCCAATGCAATTCTTTTCTTGATTTCCTGGCTGCTGGTACTAAGAGTGTTGATTGTGGAACCAAGCAAACTAAAGCTGTTAACAATTTCAGTCTCTTCACCAGCTATCATGATGCTGCCAATGGGCCCAGTGGTGAGAATTTTTGTTTCCTTGATGTTGAGCTTCAATCCATATTGAAGGCTGCAGTCCTTGATCTTCTGCAGCAAGCACTTCAGGTCCTCCTCAGTTTCAGCAAGCTAAAATACACAGTCATGAATCACCTGAGAAGCCACCATGTTTTCAATGTGGGCTTACCACTTTGGCTCAGTGCCAGCCTTGCCAAGTGCTGAATGAAGAAATCACAGAGCAATTTTGCAAAAAACAGGGATAGGATTGAGTTTCCCCGCCATTTCTCCTCTTCTGAAATCTCTGTCAAAACATTCATTTATTATCCATTGCTGGGAAGTTAGAATTTACTAATCCTCCTTGGAGATTTTGAGTCCATAAATTACACAGCCAAAGATTGTCCAAATTTTTCCATAAGAGCTGCTAGTGAATTATAACCACTAGAAAGCAGCAAGCTCCGGGTTAGCAACTGCAGCTCCTGACAGATTAAATGATCATATGAAATAAGAAAAAGAAATACATACATACATGAAGAAAAATAATCTTAACAAAAACAGTTAACACTGCATTGAAACAGATGAGGGAGAGAACTGTTTAAAAGGGATATATGATTAGGTATTATTGTCATGACAGGAGTCCAGAGCAAAGGATGCGTAGTGGAGTTGGGGGAAGAGAAAAAAAGAGAAGAGTGAACTGGGGAGGAGAGTGGGGAGCAGGCAGAAATGTGCAACAATGAAAGTTTCTGTAAACTTTAATGAAAATTAATAATAAAAAAGAAAATTCACTTAAAAAAAAAAGACCATTAAAGTCTTTAACAATTATTTGAGGAAGGAAAAAAGGGCACAAACCTAGAGTTGCTTGGAAATTTTTTTTTGTTATGTTTATTCCAGGGTACAAACATACTAATATCACTGACTTCTGTCCATAACAATGACAAAGAATTCCCCAACCCGGAGGCTTTTGACCCTGGTCACTTTCTGGATGAGAGTGGCAATTTTAAGAAGAGTGACTACTTCATGGCTTTCTCAGCAGGTAACTGATGTGTACAACCATCTGTAATTAGGGAACAGGATACCTGTATGATACCAGTTGACACTTGAACAGTGTAACTCCAGGACTAGGACAATTGTCCCTTGTACATGATCACAAGAACCACTTCCAGTGCTCAGGCACCTTCCCACCCGTGATGCATCCTCATTGTTGGGCCAGAGCATACATCCTTGTTGTTGTTGTTGTTGTTATGTGCCATCAAGTCACTTGCGACTCATAGTGACCCTATGTACAGCAGCCCTAAATGCCATTCTATCCTGTGCCAACCTAGCCATCTCAAACGCACTCATTCCCACCACTCCAGTCACAGAATCGATCCATCTCATCGATGGTCTTCCTCTCCTGCACCGCTCCTCCACTCTGCCAAACATGATGTTCCTCTCCAAGGACCAGTCCCTCCTTGCAACATGCCCAAATTATGTCAGACGAAGCTTCAGAATCCTTGATGTCAAGGAGCATTCCAGCTTTACCTTCTCTAGGACAAACCTGTTTGTTCTCCTAGCAGTCCATGGTATATTCAACACTCTTCTCCAGCACCACAGCTCAAAGGCATCAATTCTCTTTTTATGAACCCTATTCACTGTCCAACTCTCTGATGCATAGGATGGATGTAATTGCGAAGACTATAGCTCAGATCAGGCGCATCTTAGTATAAGTCCTTAGGCTCGACCATTCCAAAGGGGAAAAGGTAGGGAATGAGTTGAATTGTCTCCAGATACTTTACTGAGCTACTCAATGAAAAAGTTCTTCCTAAAAGGTAACATTTACTTAGATATTCTTCAATTCTTTTGAGAACTTTATCTAATACTAAACTTTACTAAGTACCTTCCATGTGGTACTTAAGTACATGTGGAAAATAGGGATGGCTAGAGCTGAGGATAAAGAGTAGAATACAGAAGAATTTCATACTGTGAACAGAATATGAAGGTCTACATTAGATAATTTGTGCCTTAACCTATAGGACAGGTATGAGGATCCATTTGAAATTCTAAAGGGTAAGAATGAGATGTTCAGACTTACACATTTCACAGTGCATAAGGGGGCAAAAATCCTTGGCCGAATTTTGCGCTGGGGTAAAAAGAGAAACAGAGAGTAATCACATCCATTCTTCTGTCATCTTTCTGTTCATTCATCCATCCATCTATTCAGTCATTCATCCAATGATCATTGTGTATAGTCTGTTTGCCAATTCAGTAATATAGTGTTCAAGAAGGATCTAACTTCTATGCCTGTTATTTCTAGGAAAACGGAGTTGTATGGGAGAAGGTCTGGCCCGCATGGAGCTATTTATATTCCTGACCACCATTTTACAGAAATTTACCTTGAAGCCTCTGGTTGAACCAAAGGACATCAACACCACCCCAGCTAACAATGGATTTGCATCTGTGCCACACTCCTTCCAGCTCCGCTTCATTCCTATCTGAAGATCCTCAGATTTCTGATTCCTGCTGTGCTGTCATTTGCAAAACATCTCCACTGGGGAATCAAGTCCCCAGATTAACAAACCACTGGCAAACTAACAGAAGAGGAAAAAAAGAGAAGACTGCAAATAACATGAATCTGAAATTAAAGGAATAAAGCCTCAATAAAGCCAAATGAAATTAAAAGAACAGAAAACTATGAGGATCTGTATTCTATTGACAAAATAGGAGAAATGGATCCTTTTCTAGAAACACACAAGCTGGTTTTACTAACAAGAATTCAACAAAATTCTAGCTGAATCTAAACAATAAGATCAGTTTTTTAAAAAGACCAATAAAACATACCGTAACTGAAAGGTCGACATCCAGAAATAACACAAGCCAAGTACCACCTATCTGGGTAGGGCCAGGAAGTCAGCAAGATGGAATCACTTTGCTTAAACCTTCTAATAATCAAATGAGACTCATACTAGGTAGGCATGGGTGTTTCAACATTTTAAAAAGTCAATGTCATTTACTATATAAATAAAACTAAGAAAAGTACCACATGATCATTTTGAATGATGCAGAAAACACCTTTGATAAAAGTCATTATCTGTTCCTAATTTAAAGAAAATCAATAAAACAGAAACAGAAGGGAAAGTTTAGGTGTAATTAAAGGCATATTTGCAAAACCATTAGGAGACAAAATATGTCTTTGAAAAATGATAACTGTGGATTCAGCCAGCCTCCACAACCCTCAGACCAGAAGAGCTAACTGGTGACTGGCTATCACTCCCCACCACTTTCAGTATCCCAATAAAAAGTCCTGGACAGAGTGAGAGGAAAATGTAAAATAAAACTCAAAATCATAAGAAGAGCCCCGTGTACTGCTCCATAGAGATGGGTAAAACTCCCAGTCTATGGCCCTGAGCCATCCTTTCAGCCTGGAACTGAACCCAAACAAACTATAGACAGATAAATAGGGTGAATATTAGTATCACTGAGGTACTCAGTCCTTAGAACAATCATCACCACAAGATCACAAGGATTATATTTGCCTAGAGTAAAGAAAGCTCAGAAGTCAGGAAAGAAAATGACAGAAGGATGAATGGAAACAAGAACCAGAGAGATCGTAGGGAAAGGGATTAAATAGGGGAATTTGAATCACTGTCATAAAACAAACTGCATATGAAAGCTGAATGGAATAACAATCTGCCCCATAAACTTTTACCCAAAACACAATAAAAGTTTTTTAAAAGGGCAGACGGCAGTTCTGTGCAGAGTTCACAGACACCACCAAGGCCTGATTACTTGTTTTCAATTCATTCTTGCTGGTTGTTGCTAAGTGTCCTTGAACTAAGTGCAACTCATGGAAACCCTAAGACCCACCAATCTGAAACCTGTCTTGTCCTGTGCCATCTGTATCATCCCCGACAAACTTAAGCTCACTGCCACTCTATCAGACCATTTCTTTGAATGCTTTCCTCTCTTTCATTTTTCATATTTCCTCTCCATGGAATAGCCTTTTTTAACATCATGCTAGTGGGAGAAAAAATTAAATAACCAACATTTTCATCTTACATGGATCCACCATCAATACCCTTGGTACCACAGCAGTCAGATCAGAAAAAGCATTGTATTGGGAAAGTCTCAGTAAGGGATTTCTCCAAATTGTTGAGGAGCAGTGATGTAAGTCTGAAGACTAAGGGGTGCACCTGAGTCAGGTCCTTTCCATCACTTGTTATGCATATGACAGATTAAGAATAAGGATGACAGAAGAATCAATGGCCTTGAGTTTTGGTGTTGGAGAACAGTACTGACGTTCCCAGGGACTGTCAGAAGAACAAATAGATGTCTTGGAGAAGTTGCAGCCAGAGTGCCCCTTGGAAGCAAAGATGACAAAATTTCATATAATATACTCTGGGCACGTTGCTAGGATAGAATATTTCTTGGAGAGGGGCATCATACTTGAAAAGGTGGAGAGTCAGAGAGAGAGGAAGAGCCTCAAAGAGTAACTGCAGCAATGGGTTCAAATGTGTCAGCAATGAGGACAGCACAGGATAAGACAGGGTTCAGATTTGTTGTTTACAGATTCACTGTGAGTCACACTTACCAACACATAACATGTCCAAGTATGTGAAACAAAGCTTTACTACAAACAAAAGCTTGACTCCAAGGAGGGCTCGCAGGTCACACTTTAAGGTGCTTCGTGCTCACTTGAAGCAAGGTTTTATCATCTGTATAACAGCAAGCTGTTGATGTGTCTTCCTCCAGTCCTCATGCCACACTCTTCTTCACTAAGTTCAGCTTCTCTAATGATTTGTTCAACATAGATTGAATAGGTATGGAGAAAGGATACAGCTCTTTCCCTGCTAGTTAGTACTTACACAACAGTTATTCTCTTGATGTCACATTCTGCTTTTTAGTTTATAACGGTGTGTCCTATCTCCATACCTTTACAATCTATATCAGAACAGATTATCAGGTGGCTGGGCTCTATAAGGAGAAATGTGGCATCAGGATTGGAGGAAGACTCATCAACAATCTGCGTTATGCGGATGATACAACCCTGCTGGCTGAAACTGAGGAGGACCTGAAGCACTTGCTGCAAAACATCAAGGACTGTAGCCTTCAATATGGATTGAAGCTAAATATCAAGAAAACAAAGATTCTCACTACTGGGCCAATTGGCAGCATCATGATGGGGGGTGAAGAGATAGAGATTATAAACAGCTTTAGTCTGCTTGGCTCCACAATCAACACTCTAGGCAGAACAGCCAGGAAATTAAAAGACGTATTTACATTGGGAAAGTCTGCTGTCAGTGACCTCTCCAAAGTACTGAAGAGCAATGATTTCAGTCTGGAGACTAAGGTGCACGTGATACAGGCAATGGTCTTGCAATCACTTGCTATGCATCAGATAATGAATAGGGATGATAGGAGAATTAATGCCTTTGAACTGTGGTGCTGGACTATTGAATATACCATGGACTGCTAAGAGAATAAATAGGTTCATCCTGGAGAGGGTTAAACTAGGCTGTTCTTTTGAGGCAAGGATTCTGAAGCTTCATCTGACATACTTTGGACATGTTGCAAGGAGGGACCAGTCCTTGGAGAGGGACATTGTGCTTGGGAGGGTAGAGGGACAGCACAAGAGAGGAAGATGCTCAACGAGATGGATAGATTCAGTGACTGGGGTAATGGAGGTAAGTGTGTGTCAGAGGCAATAAGATTGGCACAGGATAGAGCTGGTTTTACGGCTGTTGTACATATGGTCACTATGAGTCACAGGCAACTTAACAGCACATAACAACAACAACAACAACAATCACGATTAACCTGAACAGAACAGATGGGTTATACATGGGTTTGAAATTTCAAATCACAAAATACTTCCAACGCTATTTATGTTCAAACAAAATATCACAGGAAAGGACTGTGAAGTAATGAAGGACATCAGTGCTCTCTCCTTTGGTCATTTAACCACTTCATTATTTTTTAATCTTAATAGTTGTCTCAGGATGATAGATCAAAACAGGAGTATTATTTCATAATGGTTTGGTTAAATACTTTGCCTCTAGTACATTAAAATAGATACCGCTTTTACTTTTCAAAGAGAAAAGCAAACTGCGGGGAGAGGTGGGCAGGGAGAAAAATGCAACAATGAATGGAAATCCAAAATCTCTGTAAATGTTCATTAAAATTAATAAAATTTAAAAAAATTAGATCTATCTGGTGGCACGCTCTGTAGCATACTGCTAATTAAAAGGCCATTATCTCTGGAGGTTTGAATCTACCAGCATCTATGAGAGAGAAAGATGGGCAGTCTCTTCTTATGTTTTACCATCTCTGAAACTATAGGAGAGTGGCTAAGAGACCATTCAGTGGCACTGAATTAGTTTTTTAGAAAATATTCTAATTCTTTAATTCATGGACTCATTGTCAGAATCAACTTACAGCTGTTTACTCCAGGAGGTTTTCAGAAGACAAAGCACAGAGATGATTCATCCTTCTCCCAAGCAGCAGCTGGAAATTTAAAAACAGCAGAGATAATAGTCTCTGGATTAGCAGCATAACTATTGACGACTTCACCAACAGCTAATATACTTTGAGTGCAATTGGTGAAGCACAAATCACACTAATGTTTTGTAAGGATTTGCTAATGTTATAGTTAACTGATGGATATTTCCAATTGGGAAAGGAGTAGGGGCAGGAGGCAACATCCCTTTTCCATAGCTCTTGAGTCCAAAGTGAAAAGCAGACTGTAGTAGAGACAGCTCACCAGGATCATTGGAACTATCAAAGCCTTCTCTTCTAACTCAAACTATGAACTTGAAATAGAATGCTTTTATAACATTCCTGGCTGATGTAACTTGTGCCTTTCTGGGCTGAGAAAAGTACCAGGTTATTAGCTGCCATTGAGCTGACTCATGTTGTTGGTAATGCCGTCAAATAGAGTAAGACTCACAGCAACCCTACGAACAACAGATCTGAATCCTGTACCATCTTCACACATCCTGACACACTAGAAGCCCATTTTAGCCGTTACTGTTTCAATCCATGTGGCCAAGGGTCTTCCTCTCCTTCGTCAGCCTTCCACCTTTTCAGGAATCATGTTCCTCTCCAAGGAATAGCCCCTTCTAGCAACATGCCCAAAGTATGTGAGGCGAAGTCTCATCATTCTTGCTTCCAAAAAGCACTCAGACTGCACCTCTCTAAGACCTGTTTGTTCTTTTGACAGTCTCTGGGATGTTCAGTGCTCTTCTCCAATATCACAGCTCAAAGGCATCGGTTCTTCTGTCATCCGTACTCATTGTCCAGTTGTTGTTTTTTGTTTATTTTTCATTTCAATGAACATCTACAGAGATTTTGATATTCCATTAATTCATTGTTGCACCTCTCTCCCCGCCCCCATTTGCTCCTCTCCTTCAAACGCAAAAGAAAAACTCCCTCATTGGTACGCAATCCCCCACACATCCCCCAACCCCAAATATAATCCACTCTGCAACCCTCATTCCGTA